AATTTGAAAACCATATGTATGGAATAACATGGTCATGGATGTCCTGTTCCCAAAAAATGCGTCTCTCTGCACATACCGACGCTGGATGATCAACTACGCGCATTAGCATATTGTGCTCGTGTTGCAGCTGACAGCAAAATGACGTAGGATTTCATTCTGAGAATAAAAATATAGATAATAAGCATGTTTAATGTGCAACATTGGGACGTTCTATATGTAAATACCTAAATATGCTTATTCTTAATACGCAAGTAACTTGATCGTAATAAGTTTTGTACTAAATGCCTAGACTTTGGCATCAGAAATCGCGTCCTAGACACATTTTGACTAATTTAATTTTGTGCTGAAAAATTATTCACTTTTATTTTAAACGCTATTTAATTCGTAGTTTTTTTTTCATCACAGTCAACAGATTCATAAATGTTTTTTATAACTGAGATACAATTTTATAAAAACATATTGCATTTTTTTATTGTTGCACTTACAAGTGATATTTTAGAATTAGTTTTAAGCGCGTTCCACGTGATTTCAAAATTATACCAAAAAAATCTGTGACTACGCTTGTACTGTATACTTTATCGTCCTTGTAAGTAAGTTCCTTTCTAATTCTTTGAAAATTTCTTTTATGTAATATATTTGGATATATTTAAAATAATAAAATGCTCCGAAAAGGACGAAACCAAATTTCTTTCACTTTATTATTACATATTATTTTTTATTGTTTAGATATTGATTAATTTTACTCAGGATAAGCTAAAGTTTGTAGGACGTTTAAGTTAAGGGGCTTTGGAAGAAAACTCTAAATTTCACTTAAGTCTATTCGAATTTACTACGGTATTGCCAACTTTTCAAAATAAAAAGCATTTCTAATAAAAAAAACGCTTTCAGGCAGACACTAAACATTAGTTTTTTTTATATTTTTTTTGGATACTTATGCTTAGATATTGACAAAATCTACTAATAAAAATAATTTTATAGTGAAAAACTGTTACTATTCGAATAATTTCGGTTAGGAGATTTTCAGACTACTCGATAATGACCAGTTAGTCGTAAGTGAACGGGTAAACGTTGTTAATCGTCTATTCGACTAATTGAATAGTCGGATAGTCATTTTTAAAAAGAGTACTAATAACTATGGCGGCTACTGTAATGTAGTGGTTAGCAGTGCACGCTAAAATTCCGTAAACCCTGGGAGCGAGCCCAGTTTTCGACTAACATCAAAAACAAAACAAGAGAACAAACACTATTATATTGTCTAAGCGCCAATCTATTATTATTAATACTAACATCTGTTTATCTTTAGTATCTTTAGTAGTTAATGGTTTTCTTTTTATTTATTTAATATTTATTAATTTTTAATGAAAATATAACTTATTTTACATTAAAAACCAAAGGGATCAACAGTGAGTGAGGTAATAATATTCTAACAGGCCTACTCTGCGTTGGTAACAAAAATTTTGTTACCGGTTAGTAAAGTTACTGTAAATTTTTAAACCCTTTTCGTATTCTCCACACTCTTGTAACCGGTAAATATTGTTACCATCTCATGAGCAGGTAACAAAATATTTCCCCGTGAAATATGCAACACCAGAATTTCAACAAAACTCCATAGCTGAATTGCTGAATAAAAGTAAAACGTTACTAAGGTAAATAGAATTGCGGTTGCAAGAAGTGGTGACAATTGTTGGTAACAAAATTAGCTTGTTACAAAATGTTCGGTTACAAGCAGAATAGGCCTGTAAGAAAAACTTTGGGTATTTTTAGAAAAAATTTAAAAATCAACGGTAGTTTCTAGCCACTTGAATCTTGCCTTTTATTTAGAACTGAATTCGCTACAAAACTGCGTATTCGAAATTTTTCTAAAAATATTATTAACTTATTCACTGCAGGTCATTAGGATAGCGCACCCCTTTGTTGATGTTTTTTTTATTGTAATTAGTAATAAGTAATTAAGTATAAGTATATAAGTAGCCATAAGTACAATGGTTTTTTCAACCAGGTTATTGTTTGTTTTTTTCATGGTTAATACACCGATTGTAAGAAATATGATTCAAGTTGAACATTTGAAAACCAGTTTTTATGCCTGGCTGTAGTTGAACGTGCAGAGGTACTTGCTTCCAGCAGGTTCGAGTTAGAATGCCGTCAGCGGCAACACATAATTTTTATATTTTTTTTATGTTTTTGGTGTTTGCTAATCCCATCAGAGGCAGCGTGTTAAAATGATTATAAAAGTTTTTGTTTTGTTTTTCCGAATCATGAAAAATAATGGGGTATATTCTTGTTTCCGTACGAATCAAAAACTTTAATTTTTTGTATACAATATCACTGGAAAATTTCATGGTTTTCGATTCGAACAAAAACAAGAATACGCCTCAATATGTGAAGTGTAGACAATAAACGTGTTCAAACGAAAAATTCACCAACCAAAAGTTCGGTTAATGTAAACAAAATTGTGGTTAATATTACCAAATCATTGGTGAAAATATTAACCAAGGCATTGTTAATATTAATCAAAAATCACGTTGATTCCTTTCCAAGTTTGAATTTGGTAATATTACCCAAATTTTTGGTTGATTTTTCTCTCAGTGTAGTATTAAAAAGACAATACATGTATTGCTTAATTAAATGTTAGGCTTTAACTATTGGAAAACTGAGAGACGCTGGGCGACGAGAAGGCGTTGTTATTAACCACTTCTTCAAGGGAGAGTTTAAGCGAGAATTCATAACTTATTTAGCCAATAACACACCGAAATAGGATCTAGTTATTCGAAATTTTCCCTCGCTATATATGCATGTATATGTGTTTGTACATTAGGGTGATCTAAAATAACTAACCTAACAAATTTATGGCCTTAAAAGGCCTTATTTACTGAAAAGAAAATTTTCTGATTTGGAAAAATGTATATTCCAAATTTAAAAGGTGTCGGTGGGCATTTGAAATTTTTCATGTAAATAACATGTAAAAACAATTGTTTTCATTAAAAATGTTATGAATATTGGATCGTTTGAGACACAAATTTTTTTGGGGTATATTCTTGTAGGGCATTCAATTCTCTAAAAAATTTCCCGAAGTTGTTTGTTTCAGAGACGATTAAGAGTATTGAATATGTTATTGATATTGCTGAAGGAGGTGTAGTGTTGATACAAAATTGCAATCGAACTTTGCGGAAAGAAGAAGAACAAAAGCAATTTATTTTGCATGTAGTGCAATTACATTGCCAGCAATATCCAATATATATATATTATATTGAGATAAATTGAATTTTATTAACAAATAAAAAAAATGAATGTTTAAAAATGGAATAAAAAATAAATAAATGGATTATAACTCCCTCTCTTTTTCTGACAAATCTAGTTTATAATCAACATTTCCTCCATGTTTTATATCATTTTAGTGTAAGTTTTTTTCATTTAGCATGAATAATTCCAATCATAAAGCCCTGAAACTGCATATTTCTTTTTTTTTGACTTTCATAGCCCGTAAGTATATATATTTTTGAGTGTAGACAAAAAACAATTTTTTTCACGTGTTATTTACATGAAAAGTTGCAAATGCCCACCGACACCTTTTAAAATTTGAATACAAATTTTTCCGAGTGGGAGGATTTTCTTCTCAGTAAATAGGTCCTTTTAAAGCCATAAATTCGTTAGGTTACTTTTTTGGATCACCCTAGTGTACATATTCGCCTGTACATAAGTATCTATATATAGCATATATGCGAAAAGTCGTATATTTATAAAATTTGCACTGCTTTGTATTGAGCTGTATTGATTAGAATAACAATATTTACCTTTGAAAAAGAAGACTCGTTAAAAAGTTTTACCTAATACTCGACTGTGACGAAGTTGTTTATACCTAACTCACGCGTGTGTACAGCAGCGGATGACGAGCACCAAAGGGTTTCTTGCGATAAATACCTGACAAATGCAATCGTTAATTGATTTAGTTTCGTCAACACATAAACAATTCCATAGCAATTTTTTTTGTCTTAAAAGCACGCAACATTTGTACTTGAGTGTCATTCTCATCCGAATAGTTGAGTTGTTTTAAATCTGAATTTACGGCTCTCAAATCGGCAAAGATACAAAATTAAAAGAAACAAGAAACAAGAACAGAGAAGATGTCCCATAAAAAACTGCTCGCTAAGCACGGTCGCATATGGAATGAACAAAATCGTACGCCGGATTTAACGCACATGCATGTATCGATATTTGAGAAATTCATAGCTGCGGTTAGACAAAGCTCCACACCCGCACAACCACCACTGAGAGAAGTTGCCTCCAGCAGCCACGCACCCCAAATAAATAATCTGAGTTTTTTCGAAGACACAAGCACTTTCATTTCGAAAGCTAAAGCCTCCAACACTCTGCTTGAAGAACAAAGACAAGTATCTGAATACCGAGCCAAGCTTTTGAGTTACTTATCAGCTGTAGGGGCAAATGGATCACCATCACCTTTAAGCAGTGTAGTAACCGACAACAGAGCCAGCGAAGCACTCGACTTAAGCAATCAAAAGGTTGCAGAACTAAGTGTGCGGTCAAGAAATCAGCCATCAAGCACACAAACTGAAGCTCTAAATTTATCAAAGGCCATAAAATTCCGTAGAGCCCTCTGAACACCCAATGAAGCGTTCAGCCAACGAAGTAATCAAGAAGTCAAACTTGAAGATGTACAAAGTTGCAACTTCAAATAAGGAAATACGCCACGCTTTGTTGATGCACCAATTGCCACCCACACCAGCTGCTTCTCCGAGATGCATGCCGCATAAGCCTAATACAGACAATCATTCTTCACCTTTGAAGCAGGAAATGCACTATAAGGCGAACACACCTTCAACTTCAATGCTAGCAGCATCGTATCACAGCATTTGGATAACCAACAGCCGCAAAACTTCCCCGTTGCCCAGCACACACAACAAAGTAGTTCCTTGAATTTTAAGCGAGGCAAGCCCACCAAAACAGCACCAGCGGAGAAAAAGATAATAAAGACTTCCCTCAACATGAGTTGCGCAATAAAACAGTTGATCGATGAAAATACTGTAACGGAGTGCGGCTTTGAATGGGTCGTACTCGGTCAGAATGGCACCAGAATAATGAAAGACGCACTCTTCAATATGAACTGGTCGATCAGTGGTCCTGCCATAACGCGTAAGATTTTGGTATTACTATTCAGTCGTGAAGTGCTTTCTATACACACGCTGTTTGGTAAGCCATCGCCGGCCTTTATGAGCATAAACAAGCCCATCAAGGGTCAATTGGATCCATTGATTGTTGGTGATTTAATCGAATTCATGGCTCTCACTAAGGATATGTCGTCCAGGGAAGTACGCAATGCGATAACTACAAAGTGCGCCGATGAATTTAAAATGTTACGTCAACGTGTGGAAGGTCGACAGGAAAACAATTTTGGTAAGGGTATTGCAAAGTTGGAGACAACGAACTAAGCGATAAAGAAAATCGAGGGAAGCAAGTCCAGAGAGAGAATAAGCAAAATGAAAGCGAAGTTGGGAACTTGGTTTCTAACCATGTGCTGCCACAAATAAATTCGAGTTAATTTTATCATCGCTTTGCTTCTCGATCCTGACGCTAATTTATTTGCACAACTGTGTATTGTATTTGAATCTAATACGTAAATTTTTGCTTTAAGTTTATTGATTGTGCAAGTATGTTTTTGTATCAAAAAATAAAATATAAAAAAATCCTGTGAATTAGTAGATGTGGTACCTTTACTTTAAGTTTATACAGTTTCTATAATTCTGACAATAAACTTATTTTATACGGAGGTACCAAAATTGCCTTGCTTACTTATTCCATGTCAATTTCAGGGAGGTCCTATGGGCTGGTCTTGACTTAAAATTGATTGCAGGATCTGATTAGAGACACCGGGACAGGTTAACTAAATAAAAGCTTGCAAGAATACACTGCTTGCGCTGACTCCTTCAACTCTTCGCCAACGGATGGAAAATGATTAAAAGAAATATCGCTCACGAACGCAATGGAAGGATCGAATGCAGAAGAATTTGTATGTGAAAAGATTTATTTTTCTTAATAAAACAATAAAATCCAATAATTGGAAGAAAATGGTTAAAAAAAGAAATACAAATTAAGATAAAAAGAATAACAAATTAAATTAAAAAATAGAATAAATAAATAAAATAAATTTCTAAAAAGTAAATAAAATTAAAAGCAATTCCTTTTTTACACTTTAAAATCTAAAAATTAAAAGAAAATTTTATTTAAAAACTAGAAACAAAAATTATTTAAAAAAGAAAAATGAATAAATAAAATAAAAAAATGTAATTTTTTAAATAATGACAACTTGGTTAAATTTAAAAAAGAAATTAGATTAATCACGTAAAAAACTATATAAAATAAGTTTTTAAAA